GAGGAGGAAGAAGAATAGGACGGGGGAGGAAGGACAGTGAGAGTAGAGAGGATGGAAAAACAAGAAGGGAGGAAGAAGAAGAAGCGGAGAAAGAAGGTAATACTGTAATAAGAAGAAAGGAGGAAGAAGAACAAGATGGAGAAGAAGAGGCGAAGGAAGAGGAGGAGGAGGAGGAGGAGGGGAGTAAAGGAGGAACGAGGAGGAAAGGAAAAGCAGGCAGACCATGAGGAAGGCCAGAGAGAGAAGACCTAGATGGCGGAGAGGAGGGAGTAGAGGAGGAAGTAAAGGAGGGAGTAGAGGAGGGAGATGAAAGGGATGAAGGAGAGAGAACAGGAGGTGCAAGAGGCGGAGGAGGAAACGAAGGAAGAGGAAAGGGAGAAAGAGAAGAGAGAGAAGGGAGAAACGAAGTAGGAGGAGGAGGAGGATGACGAGGAAGAGGAAGAAGAAAGAGGGACGAAAGGAAAAGGAGGAGAGAGAGACAATGAAGAGGAGAGGAGGGGAACGAAGAGGACGAAGGGGAGGAGAGGAGGGGGAGGAGGATGACAGGGAGCAAGCGGAGGGAGAGAAGAGGAAGGAGGGATAGACTACATGGGAGGACAATAGCAGAGACGAAGAGAAAGAAAGAAGGATGGAAAAGAGGGAGGGAGCAAGGAAGAGGGAAGGAGCAAGGAAGAGGGAGGGAGCAAGGAAGAGAGAGCTTCAACCCTCTTTCTCCTCTTTCTCCTCTTCGTCCTCCTCCCTCCTCCTTTCTCCTCCCTCCTCCTTCCTCTCGTTCTTCCTGCCTCCTCTGTCTCTCCCCTCTTTCCTTCGTCCATCTTCCTCTTCCCCCATGCCTTGTCCTCTTCCTCCCGTGTTCTCCTTTATTTTCCTCCATCATAGCCTTGGATCCCGTATGCTCATGATTAGACGTTTCGTTTGAGGGCAGACGGAACGGCTATAGTGCGTGTACCTGGCTGCAAACACGGCCAAATTCCATCAAGGCCCTTCCACCGGAAACATGCCCGTAACCTGACAGGCAAGCTGACAGACAGAATGTCAGACTGACAAGGAGACTGCCTGACAAAATAGGCGTCAGGGATATTGTGGCTGTACTGAGCAGCATATACGACCACGTTCACGTCCTGAGAGAGCCCTGGCGGGGTGCACAGGCCGGGGTTGAGAGAACCTCCGACCATAGTGAATTTAAAGAATTTATCGTGAATTTAAAGAATTTAGCAAAACTAGAGAATTTAGTGAGTTAATAATTAATCAATTAATCAATTAATCTATTAAATAACTGAATTCAAGTTGACAGCCCAAATCAGCGGAAGTCATCCTGCTGTGAGAGGGCCCAGACAGATGGAAAGGCTGGCGAGGAAGAGAGAGAGGGAGAGAGAGAGAGGGAGAGAGAGGGAGAGAGAGAGGGAGAGAAAGAGAGGGAGAGGGAGAGGGAGAAAGAGAGAGAGGGAGATTACCAGACAGACACGTAGGGAGAGAGAGGGAGAGAGAGAGGGCGAGAGAGAGGGAGAGAGAGAGAGGGAGAGGGAGAGGGAGAGGGAGAGGGAGAAAGAGAGAGAGAGAGGGAGATTACCAGACAGACACGTGGA